AACGAAGTCACGGCTGTAATGAAGGCTTGCTATGTGCATATGTTTGAACACATGGGAGCAAACGTATGTGTGAATGCTGGGAATCTTTTCTATCAGGGAGGAGGAGAAGGAAAAGAAGAAACTGAGCAGCATTTCCACAAAACTTTTGGCAGAATGGACTGAATAATCCAAACTGTGGATGGCCCAACTTATTAGTCAATAGAATTTCTTGGGGGGCGGGGGGATGAAGGTAGACAAACTAGTTCATTTGCCTATCCACTTTGAAAAAAAAATGCAATCAGCTTTTATGGAAAAAAACAGCAACCATGTTTTGGTTTTTGTCTCATCAAGAATTCACTTAAAGCATTTCTGACAATAGCGAAGGAAAGAAGAACAGGGAAGAAAAAAAGCACACCATGCATTCCTTACGCTAACAAAGAGGAAGCCAAAGAATGCTTTCTTCGTATTTACAGCATTAATACCCATGTGCTTCTTACAATAGAAACCAAAACAGAATCTCCATTTCAGGTCCACAAAGGTTTAAAAGTAAACTAATCAGTACAGAGTAGCAAGGAAATACTATGTTTTGTCGAGCACAAAAAACAAGGTAAGAATAGAAGTCACCAAGTGTTTGGGAACAGCTCCCTACTACGACCTGGGAAAGGGAAGTCCAGTGACTCCTTTACAATCCAGGAAACACTACGACTCATCACGTGCGCAGACTTAAGAGTTCAAGATCCACAGGAGGACTGGGGAAATAATTTCCCGAGGCAGATTTTTCATTTGAGGCCAGACATATCTGACTCCCTTAAATACAGCCCAAAGACACAAATGCAAAAGGGGGTTATCACCCTTCCTATCACGATGGTGCAGTCCGGGCCCCGTCCCTGCTTAGAGGGGGCTGCTGCTGGCACAGCCTGCCCAGAGGACCACACCTGCTCCTCTCTGACAGGCCTACTATGGTGACTCTGTCTCCCCCAGGCAGGCAGCTCAGTGGTTCCCACTGAATAAACGCTAATGGAACTAAATCACAGTCTCTCTGAGCGCTGGTCTCCTCATTTAGAAAATGATGATGGGGACGCCTGGGTGGCTCAGTCGTTAAGCATCTGCCTTCAGCTCAGGTCATGATCCCAGTATCCTGGGATCGAGCCCCGCATCGGGCTCCCTGCTCCGCGGGAAGCCTGCTTCTCTCTCCCTCTCCCTCTCCCTCTGCTTGTGTTCCTTCTCTCTCTCTCTGTCAAATAAATAAAAATAAAAAAAAAATAAAAAAAGAAAATGATGATGGCTTTTCAGTCTTTTCCACAGAGGTGTCCTAAGGCTCCAACAAACTAACGCGGATGAGAAGACCTTTGTAACAGGGAAAGGGCCACCCTTTGGCCACCCAACTGTAAGGGGTGCCATCCAGTAGGTGGGCACCACGTTCGATGCAATGACTGAAGGGATACAGGCAAGCACAGAGACCCAGCTGGGCTGAAATGGCTTCTGATCAAACCTCAGAGCAACTGGTAGTGCACAAAGATCTAGGACAATCATTAGTCAATCATCTTGGGATCCTAGTTCAAAGAAGCAAGGATAGTCCCTAGGTGCTGCTAGAATGAAAGCTTCACAGGAAGAGATATGCGGTCCAGGGAAGAGAGCACAGGCCCAGGAGCTCAGTCAGACAAATCTAAATTCTACTCTGGACAACGCAACTCAACCACCTGACAGCCTCTCCTAAATGTGGTCAGCAGAACCTGCTTCCCAGGGCTGATACAAAGATCCAAGTTGAGAATACATGTTAAGTCACTATGCACAACCCTGTGACATAGTAAACACGAAAGAGGTCATCAGACCCTCCTTCCAGGTGAAGGAGGAACTAAATCCCGTTAGAGGATACAAAATCCCCCTAACTCAAATCTTTAGTCTCAGAGCAGAGAAAGCCAAATTTCCCTTTGGGCCCAAATTTGGGTAGAAGTGGGATAGTCATCTGGACAACACAATGAGAATTAACAGCCTGGTGAAAAAGACCTGCTACATTATCATCCATTTCTCTAAAATCGTAACTAAAGTCATCTTTAGAGCACGTGACCTCTATTCTTTGAGGCAACAATGGGCAAGGTCAAGGTCTGTCACACCCAGCTAGAATCAGGATTTGGCGACAAGAATCCAGAAACATGCAGAGTAAGACTGTGACGTTGTGGCAGATTCTTCGGAAGGAGAAACAGATCCCAGAAGTCATGCTTTCAGGGAAGGCATTTTGTTGGCATAGGTAAGAAAGCAGGAGAAACAGAGGCATTCTTATACTCAAAGAATGAACTTCTTCATACCTTCGAGAATGTTTGCTCAGAAATCAGCAGTGCCATTAGCAATTGCACACGTGAAGAAACACAGCCCGACTTCCTGTGAGCCCCAGTGACCTCTCCACAGCAGCACCTGGGCACGCTCCATATTTACTTATGGTGCAATCTGATCCTGACTTCGGTGAGTTATTTCATAAGCCTTTTAAGGGTTACTACATTTTGTTCCTATAAGAGGCCAATCCAAATTAGCAACAAAAGAATAGTTAAACACAAGAAAAACCACCTCTTTTGTGCTCCTCAAGAAAGGCAGTCTTGGTCATTAAAAAGGCAAAGTGTGTTTTATTCTCTATCAACTTTCTCTTACAAAAATCGGTCCAGTAATTTTCCAGGGTGGGGAGGGGATTAGTAGTCTTCCACTCACACCTGTTTGAAAATGAGGAGGAGTCGAAATGGTATACACATGAGAGCAAGTTATCTGGCATTTGGTTCTGGGCCATGTCCTGTAGAAAGTATGCTAACTATCAAATGCTACACAACATACTATTCCTCCAAAACTTAGCCATCTAAAGATGACCATTTTATTCTCGATCTTTTCTCTGCTCTTCCAACTGGATGATTCCTACTGTCCTATCTCCAAGCTCACTGACTCTTTACTCTGTCATCTCTTAAGTTGTCAAGCTCATTCAGTAAAATTTTTAAATTTTATTTTGGATACTATATTTTTCAATTCTAGATGTTCCATTTGGTTCTCTTTTTGGTGTCTATTTCTCTGCTGACTATCTTTTCATTCATTAGAAGCATATTTTCCTTTACATCCTTGGGCATAGTTAGAGTTGCTTTCAAATCTTTGTCTGCTAAACCCAACATCTGTGTCATTGTAGTCTCTGCTGATTATCTTTTTTCTCTTGGAGAATGGGTCATATTTTCTTGTGCTTAAAGTAAGCTTGAATTCTATCCTGGACATTGAGAATACTATGCTATGGAAACTCTGGATTCTATTATATTCTTCTAAAGAATGTTGATATTTTTATTTTAGCAGGCAATTATCTTGGTTGGAGTTACACTGTCAAATCTGGTGTGGCAGCTCAAAACTCAGTACAATTCTTTTATCCGTAGCTTAGCTGCTTGGATCCTGCCCTACATGTGTGATTCAGGCATCGCATGGATTCAGACAGCTGATACACAGAATTTGGGGCTTGCTTTCTCCTTCCCAGGAGTCCCTCCTTCACTTTCCAATGGCTGTGCTTCCTCCAAACTGTCCATTTAATCTTTAAGATGAAAGGAGTGCAGATTTTCTTTTAGAGTTTTAAGTGTCTTACAGAGCACACGCTGTGCCACTCCCTTCTTCCAAGGGGCAATTCAATTCCAAAATTGCCTGTTTGTGTCAAATTTGATTATTTTCACATGGCTGTCTTTTGTCCAGAGTCTGTAATTATTATTTGCAGGAGGTTCAGTCCTACAGCAGCTTACAGGACCATTAACAGAAGCAGAACCCACACCACTTATTTTTTCCCCAATTTTGGATTATTCCTCATAATCTTGTGGGTCACAAATTCAGAAAGGGCTCTGTCAGGCAGGCTGTCCCTCATTCACGTGGCATCAGCTGTGCAACTAGGAAACCGAGCTTGGAACTAAGGAAGCGCGCAACTACCTAGAAAACTTCCAAGATGGTCTCCTGCCCACATGTCCGCTGCCTTGGTATTCCCTGACGCATCTCTCTCTCTCTCTCTTCATTACATCTCACCCTCCAGGGCTTCTCTCCATGCAGACTGAGCACATCACGGCATAGTGATCTCAGGGGATCTGCACATCTGACATGGTTAACCAGCTCTGACGAGGCTAAAAATGGAATCTGCCAGATCAGTCAAGGGCTCTATCAGAAATGATACAAGATCACTCCCACCACATGTGATTATTCAAAGCAGTCACAGAGATTTTTCGTCATCCAGACTGAAAATGGAGGAACAAATGCTAATCCTTGATGGGAGAATGGCAAAGTCATATTGCAGGCGTGTTTCTGCAGCCATCTTGGAAAAATAGAATCTGCCACATATGTATCTGATATCTGATGAAGCAAAACAACTGCCACCCAAAGAAAAACTCTAGGAAAATATAGGCAGGCTAGTTCGATGTTAAGCATGTGGTCCAATTCTGCCATCTTTTTTATCACCTTCTCATGTTATCAATATAGTGACCTCTAAGCTATTCAGCACAAAAGAGGTTTCCAATGGCAGTCTATTGAGTTTCTAAAGATTTAATACTTAAATACTGTATCAATTTCAAAACAGAAGAAATGCTTATGATGCTATCATCCATAAATGTAGGTCAAGATTAAAGTTCTCTTTGTTTTTTATTAAGATAAGGGTCCATAATAACTACTTATTAAATGTCTACCATGTGTTTGAAAATTTCTAGGCACTTCAAATACCTGTTTTTGTTGATTGTTCTCTACATGATGTAAGATATACACTGGCTTAGACAAGCATTGACAATTTATGAGAAAGGAGACTGGCTCAAACACATTAAGGACAAATACAATGCAAAATTACAAAAATACAAATCCTGATAAAAACAAACGTGACCTAGGACCCGTATCTGTGGGAATATGCGCACACACGCATTATTTCACGCTACCTTCTAAACAAACTATCATTCCAAGAACTGTATATATTCTAAATTCCAAATATCATATTCTAAATGAAGCCATATATATATATGAAACATGCCGAGAAACAATCTTACCTTGTCTTGGTTGTCTTTATTCTTGTAACACAGATTTCCGATCAGACGAATGAGATGAGACTTAAAGCCCTCAGCCATATTTGAGATGTCGCCCTCTGCTCTTATGCAGCCACCGCTACTGAAGATGTTTGTGGTGTCATTGCCAGCTACATGAATCAGTCGTAAAAGGTCTACAATGAAAACAGTAAGTTTTATTTACCCTAAGAAAATTTTTGGTATTTTGTACTGACTTTCCATATACAAATCTAACTTACATTAATGGACTAAAATAAAATAAAGGTAAAGTACCTTTAATGATTAGAAAACTCTTCTTTTGCTTGAATTTTTTCACAACTCTGGTTTTGGGGAGATAAGCCATAATGATTATCCCAACCTGGACTTTCTATTTATCCACAAAGAAAAGTTAGCTAAAAATTTTCTGCCATCTTTCTTTTTTTTTTTTTTAAGATTTATTTATTTATTTGAGAGGGAGAGTATGTGTATGCGCATGCATGTGTGTGAACGAGGGGAGGGGCAGAGGGGAAGCAGACTTCCCACTGAGCCACAGAGCCTGACACGGGAGCTCGATCCCCTAGCCGGGAGATCATGACCTGAGCCGAAACCAAGAGCCGGACACCTAACCGACTGAGCCACTCAGGCGCCTTCTGCAATCTTTCTTATAAAGAAGTTTCCAATCCCAAATTCTTTATGAAGGAACTCATGTGACAACTACAGTCAGCTACATCTAAAATACAATCAATACTTATTCTGTAATGAGCCGTATGACAAAAACCAAGAAGTAGGTTGATTTTTTTTTCTCACTGTCCAGGTAATCGGAAGGCAACATGTACTCTCCATAAATCTAGTCTGGCTATATTCAAAAGAGGAAAAATTATTACGCTCTATGAAATGCCTCTAGACAGCATATGAAAATAGATCATCTTCCAGAAGCTGTACTTAAGTGTTTCCACGATATCCCATTTAACACCCTTAACAAACCTATTAAAGGCAAGTATCGGGGCGCCTGGGTGGCTCAGTGGTTAAGCGTCTGCCTTCGGCTCAGGTCATGATCCCAGAGTCCTGGGATCAAGTCCTACATCGGGCTCCTTGTTCAGCGGGGAGTCTGCTTCTCCCTCTGCCTGCCACTCCCCCTGCTTGCGTGCTCTCTCACAAATAAATAAATAAAATCTTAAAAAAAAAAAAAAAGCAAGTATCACTTTCTCAATTTTATAATGAAGAAATCAAGCTCAGAGAAGTCAGTAATTTGGCAGAGCTGGGATGACAACCCATGTCTGCCCTGGATCCAAACACACACGTTTTTCTAAAAAGATTCTGTTTCCTAGGTTTGTGGTTATATTTAATTACCACTAAAAGCACTGCACTCAAAATAAAACACTCACACGAGATTCTAAACATCTTCTATAGCTCATTGCTGACTCATCTACCCACCTCGATACAAATTCATCTTTCTTAGCATATACATCTCCACAGTAAGTATAATCCTTTTTTAAAGGAAAAAAATAGCAAACAGTGAATAACAACACCCTAAGTATGGCTAACCACAAGGAACAGGTTCTACTTGAATTATTTTGCAAATAACTTTTTAGCAAGGATGGTATTCCAACCGATGGTTAAGAATCAAAGACATAATCACTATGTGTAAGGCACTATTCTTTGTGCCCTATAAAAGTAATAGGGAAAAATATACTTAACAAATTTGGAAAACAAATATAAAAATCCCCATCATCATTGCTGAAACTACCCCCACCACCAAACCGCCCCCATCATCACAAACCTCCCACCACGTGGCCACAACGCTACTAAGGACACATCCATGAGGTACACTCTGCTTAATAGGCAGTAGTACTCTCATCTACTGGTCAGGCAGCCGGAGTGAAACAGCAGGTCAGTGGCAGAAGCCAGAGCTGGTACAAAAACACAGTGATTCTTCCCAAGAAAAAAAAATATTAAAAAAAAATCTCAAAAATAGAGCAATACAATGAAAATTAAGGATCTGTGTTTGGACTTACACTTCAGCGTGACAAGCCAAAGATTCCTTAATTACAAATAATAGCATGCGGGATAATTCACTCACCAATCACTCTTTCCAGCAAGCCAGGAAAAACCTGCAGATAGCTGAGCAGATCAGTATTAGCGGTCATTTCACACAAGACATCAAGAAGCCGAACTGTGGCCAACGCCTCCTAAAAAAAGAAAACATGACTTTTAAGTCAAGCTAAATAATTTGCAACTGTTATAAATAATGGTAAGAGAATGGAATACTACGAAAAATATTAAAGAGTTGGTGCTGGTAAAGTCAGCATCTAAAGAGAGAAAACAAAACGACCGAGAACGAAACAGATATTAAATCTGTATGTGAACAATCATTTTCACTAACAGCAACATCTGCCATCAAGAACGCGAGATTATGTGTCATTATGTGTCTTCTTGGAGCGAAGAGTCAGAAAAGTTCTTATTCAAGCAAAAATACCTTCCAACAGTGGAATAAATGTTCAAAATTACTAGCTACGTACATAACATTTATGCAAATACTTTCTTTTTAAAGCATTCCCAGCAAGCAAGTTCTACTTTAAAGATACAACTATCCCATGAAATACATAAATTTCTTGTCCACAGGAATCCTGTAAAATACTGTGGCTGAAAGAACTCTGGCTGCAAGAACATGCATTATTTCTCAGTAAATATAAACCTTTATGCAGTATCTTGCAAGGCTGGAAAAGATAACATTATTTGGAAATGTTAGTTCACATAACTACTCAAGAATTGATTATCAAATGGACCAAATGAATAAAAAACCACCAGCTACCAACTATATGGTATTAGGTAATCTGAATAAAATGGTAAAATCCAATTTTGTACAGATTTTGGCCCTCATTTTTAAAGTGCACATTATTTGGCAAAATGCGGTAGATGCTATAAATTTAGGTCATAAAGAGAACATTCTTCAAATGAAAAATAAACTACTTCTTTTTGCTAATTCTAAACATGTACTTAACTAAACATGTTCTTCAGTTAGGAGATTTAAAGGTAATATTCTAATCTACCATTCTGAAATCTCAAAAGAAACCACAAGAAACAACATTTACTTTTTAAAAAATTTTTATTATTCATTCATTTATTTGTTTGTTTGTTTATTTATTTAGAAGGAGAGAGAGAGAGAATCCCAAGCAAACTCTGCACTGAGTGCAGAGCCCGACACAGGGCTTGATCCCATGACCCAGAAGTCATGACTTGAGCCGAAATCAAGAGTTGGATGCTCAACTGACTGCACCACTCAGGTGCCCCACAACACACATTTTTAATGCCTTGAATCTTTAATTTTACTCTAGCTTTCACTTGCTCGTTTTAACAAGTTAGGGGAGATATCTAGATGAGAAGGTTGAAATCAGAGCCAAATTCAAAAGACTCTTGAGCAAACCCGTGGGCGTCGTGCGTCCGCACCCTCTTCTGTGAATGGGCAGTTGCCCAGATTGTCATCTGCAGATGCCATTCCCCCTTCAAGAAGTGGCTGACTGGTTGTAGATCGGGGGCAGAACACGTGACACATGATCCTGAACACAGAAAACAAGCTGTGAGAGACGATCAGGATCATGTCGGAAGGAATCATAAGCAACCTGAGAAGGCTCTCACTGGCCAGCAATGGCACATTAGAAAACTAGGGAGAGGCGCACCTAGGTGGCTCAGATGGCTAAGCGTCTGCCTTCTGCTCAGGTCATACCCCCCACATCGGGCTCCTGGCTCAGCGAGGAGCCTGCTTCTCCCTCTCCCTCTGCCTCTCTCCCTGCTCATGCTCTCTCTCTCTCTCTGTATCTCTGTGCCTCAAATGAATAAATAAAATCTTAAAAAAAAAAAAAAGAAAAGAAAACTAGGGAGAATTACAGCTAAAATGGGTTGAAAATAAATCAAGTATCTGGGGGCGCCTGGGTGGCTAGGTTGGTTAAGTGTCCAACTCTTGGTTTTGGTTCAGGTCATGATCTCAGGGTCCTGGGATCGAGCCCCTCGTCAGGCTCCATGGTCAGCAGAGAGTCTGCTTCCTTTCTCACTCTCACTCTCTCGCTCTTGCTCCTTCTCTAAATAAATAAATCTTTAAAAAATAGAAGAGAGAAAGAAATCAGGTGGTTTTAAAACTATGACATCACAATAGTGATGCAATCAAAACGGAACAACTCACTGCAGATGCCACAAAACCAATTCATTACTTTGAATATTGGTAATCAAAATGTACCTTGTATAACCTAACAGTTGACTAGGAGACGTTTCTAAACGATAAGAGTCAAAATACCACCATTTCAGAACCCCCAAAGAATGAACGGACCCAGGTAACAATCATTTACAACGGCTAACATCACAAAAGAGACAACCAGACATTATGTGCCTCTTGATGAAAGAAAGCATGTATCATCAACAATAAAACATTACTGGGAAAAAAAGACATAAAAACCTAACCCAAATCTGAATAGCTCTCTGGAATTAATTATCAGTCACAGGAATGCAAGGAAAAGAGCAATGTGTGAAACACCACCATGAAGATAAAATCAAAATCCAAACTGCAGAAAACTACAGGTAAAACGACCCAGTTTCTTCAGTAAAGAACTAGCAAAAGGGAAAAGGCGGAAAAAAAGAAGAGAAGAAGGGCAAGAAAGGGGAACATATACATTAATGGATATTTGAGATACAACAACAGATTGCAATGTATGGCCTCTGTTTGTATCCTGATCTGAAGAAATAAACTTGAACAAAATTATTAGATAATGGGGCAAAAATCTGAGTATTGTTTACTTGATATTATAATTATACTGCTAATTTTTTAGGTGTGCTAACTGTAGTTGACTTGGGTGTGACTCATCTTTTAAAGATACGTATAAGATAATGCACTGATGAGACATGCTGGAATTTTGCTTCAATCCAGGGCTGCTGCTGCTAGATCAAGTTGGGATCATGGATGAAACAAGAGCGGTAATGAACAGAGAGCTGCTGACGTGGGTGATGGGGTTCAGGACGCTTTTTTCGCTTAGTCTGTTTGAAATTTTCCATGATAAGAAGATAAGAATAAAAATAGAGGGTTGGAAGAGATCATGTAGATGTTTCTTTCCAGCTCCTAAATTCTATGATGTCAAATGAACTAAACCCAAAAGAACATTAATCTAGCTCCACCTAACACATTCCCAATTTTAATCATTAGGATCCTTTTATTAATAATGTGTTTCTAAGGAACATCTGGAAACCAATAATGAAAAAAAAAAGCCAGGAAAATGATTCTCTTAAAAACTAAGAGGAATATTTGAGATGCCCTTCTAGTATTTGTAAGTATTATACAACTACAGTCATTAAATTGGGCACTGGGGAAAACAGACACAGGCACATCAAAGGAATGAGCCTCTGCAGTGGGCAGAAGAGGGGGGAAAAAAGATTAGTCTCCTGTCTAGATCATCTGTCTGGGTTAACTTTACCCTTTAGTGTCTTTGAACTATTTTACAATATTCTAAGTTGTAGAAAACTGATAATAGTGCAAATGACTCTTGTCCACAGAAACGTAGATTACTTGGGTCTGGCTGGAATGCAATTAATTACTGCCTTGTGCACAGACCACTGTTTGCATCTATGGGTCAGATCACTCCAGCATTCCTTCATCGTGTATAAACACGTGGCTCTCTGAATTCTTTGATAGCTGTTAGTATCTCACTGGTTCTCTCTGTAAAACGTCAGAAACACAGAAATGGATCCAAAAATATACAAGAATGTAATATATGACAAAGGTAGCATTAAAAATAGTGGAAAGGATGAGATCATTCACTAAATAGTATTGACACAACAATTAACAGCTAACATTTAGGGAGCACTAACTATGTACCGATCAGTGTAGTAAATGCTTACGTCAAAATACTATTCATCTTCCAGGCAGAGAAACTGGGGGACAGAAAATAAGTAACTTTTCCAAGAGCACACACCAGTAATAGAGGAAATCAGGATTCAAACCCAAGTGGTCCTTTACCAAAGATTATAGAATCTTGGATCATCAAAAGACATAATCTGGATCTATACTTCCCTCCTTGCTCAAAAAACAAATTCAGTTAAAAATGTGGACCAAATACTGAAAGAACTAGAACATACAGGTGCATATTTCCACAATCTAAGTGGAGATGGTTTTACTAAATATGTAAGAAACTTCAGAAACCATAAGGATAAAACTGGTAAGCCTAACTAGATTAAAAACAAAAATACAAACTTCTAAAAGGCTGAGAATACCATAAATAAATTCAAACAAAAAATTAACTATGGGGGGGGGGAGAAGTTTCCTGTATATATGACAAAAACATTAATCTTCTGAAAATGCTCATTAATAAATGTATTTTAAAAGGTAACCTAATATGAAAAACAAATGAACATGCTGGACACTGAAAACAGTTACAGAGAAATGGGCATTAAATCAGATTAGTGAAAGGCTGCAGACCCATATACTCCCATGTTCTTTTGGTATGGCATTTAGAAGTATTTCTAAACATTTTAAATAAACAGACTCTCTGACTCAGTGATTCAACGTCCAGGAATTTACAATTCCAGATTTACCTGTCCAAAATTGCAAAGATATCCAAGCTACAGCATTATCTGTAAAGGTTTGAGGAAAACCCTGGAAGCTACTAAAGTGTACGTCGACAGAGAACAAATGAGGAAATTCCGTCTCCTCTGTCTAGTGGAATTCTGCTCCACTGTGAGGAAGAAGGAGATGAAGGCACATAATGTGTTAAATGGAAAGATGTACAAGACACTTCAGGCTAGGCGAAAAAAGAAGTTGAAGAATAAAAAAGGTAGTACTGTAAAAAAAAAAAAAAAAAGAAGAAGAAGAAGAAACGAACAAAAAACAGGTGTATACTTACAAAAATCTCTGAGAAGAGAAGAAAAAAGTATATGATGATATGTCCATAGAAAACAGACAGAGGCTGGGCGGGAATGAGGACTTCTGTTTCACTGACTTCAGTGTGAATTTTTTTTTTTATTTAATAAGCAAATATTATTTGCACAGTACAAATATTTAATCCTTTATCAGTCTGTGGAATGAAAGATTACCCTTTCTTATTCCACAAATATTTATTAAATACCTACTATATTAACAGATATTATAACGTAAGTTGGGGAACACAAGGAATAAAACAATGAAAAACCGACCACCTGAGGATAATTCTCGTAATAGATGAATACGAAACTAAAAACAAAATACGAAACTAAAAAGAATTTATTTAACTTCCAGAGGAAAGGCCAGGCTCCCTACAAGCAACAAGACTAAGGCTCGAGATAAAGCTGAACTGAACCCTAAGTCCTACAGGATAAATTGCACATTAGCACCGAAGAAAACGTTCTCAGAAACTGGAGACAAGTACACAAAAAATACCAAAGACAGAAACACATATGTGAATGTGAAATCCTCAGACTGTTTCTATTAAGGAAGACATGAAAAAAAATCCTCAGGATTTTAAAACCCAACAATTATACAAATACACAATAGATGACCCCAAGATGACAATTTTCACTCCAATATTTTGGCCACAGCATTATGAGACCCTTACTGGATATCTTGTCCTAAGAATATCACAACTGGGTAAACGCAGAGGTTTTGCTGGTCTGCTGGCTCTGGGGAGATGGAAAAGGAGGCAGGAGCAGAGAGCCCTGATCTGTGGCCTTTGCTGATTTCCACGGTAGAAATACTTCCACCATGGCCAATTTCAAGCTACAGAGAGTTCAACAGTCAGCTCACGGATATCTGAATATTTAACAACTGACTCTCAGAAGTCCGTATAGCCTGGCTTCAGTATACCACTGGGTATATGGTATATTAAATATTGGGGTTAGAGGTCTTCTTAAAAACTACTGTAGCTTTTTTAAAAAACGTCTAACTTAAAGGAGAACACATATATACTAATATGCACAAGTCATGACTTTTATAGATCAACTTTTTTTTAAGATTTTTTTATTCATTTGAGAGAGAGAGTGAGAGTGAGAGCACGAGCAGGGGGGAAGCTCAGATGGAGAGAGAGAAGCAGACTCTAGACCAAGCAGGGAGCCCGACACAGGGTTCGATCCCAGGACCCCGGGACCACGACCCGAGCCCAAGGCAGACGCCTAACCAACTGAGCCACCCAGGCGCCCGATCCATTTTTTTAAAAAGTGAACAATGAATCATGGAACAATACATCAAAAACTAATGATGCAATGAATGGTGACTAGCATAACATAATAAAATAAAATAAAATAAAACAGTGAACTATTTGGGCTTTTCAAAAGAAAACTCTCTACAAATTTCTATTTATTAATATATAGTAATTATTCCCCTTTTAGAGAAAAAAGAAAAATATGAATTTTCCTCAATATAAAAAGTTCCATCAGGTAATTTCTTTTTACAATACTGAAGTCATCTATACCAAAAATGCCAGTGCCTTGAAAAAGCTTAAAGCTGTGGTTTAACAAGTACTAGGTTTTACCTCCTTTTCTGTCTCCTAGAGAATTAACTTTTACTTTTTTGAAGCACAGCTCACTGCTCCTCCTGCTGGAAACAGAGGCAAATCTATCTCCAGAAAGGAAAGGCATCAGTGAGTCAAGACTTGGCCTCTCCTATCACAGAAATGAGAAATAAAATACCAGCTCTGTCAGCGAGACCCAACATGGTCTGTAGGACACAGCACAGAACATCCACAGCAAAGTAACCTGGAAAAAAGGTACAGTCACAGAGAAGGAAATCTACTGTCATGGTAGAAGAGTCATAACCATGGCCTGCATTTACAGAGGAAGTTAACAGGTTTGTGGCATCACACACACAGGATCCAGGGAAATGTGAAAGGATCCAGATATAGTGGATGGAGCCCTTTCCCAGCTATTCACACCTCTCTGCCCACGGGAGTCGCTCTCCACCCATCACTCCCATCGGCACAGAAATGTTCATATCAGTGTTCTTGCGGTACAGCTGACATGCAATAAAATACATCCATCTGGAGCGTACCGTACAGAGTTTTGTCAAGGTACACAGCTATGTACCACATTTCTCTTACCCAAAACGTACCCTCATATCCTTCACAATCAAATGCACCCCTTCACTCCCGCCCCAGGTGACATCTGATCTGCTTTGTTTGTATCAGTAAGTTTCACCTTCTACAGAATTTCAGAGATGGAATCATTAAGATACATTCTCTAGTCTGGCTACTTTCAGGAGGGATGTTTGGGATTCATCTCCTCTGTTGTATCACAAACCCATTCCTTTCTACTGCTGAGTAGTATTCCAGAGAAAGAACCATTCTAACTTTAAGACAGAAGGGAAGGAAGATGGGACAGACAAAAATAAAGAGATTTCTCAAGTGTGAAGGATGTATCAATGCTTCCATCCCCTTAGTAAAGACTGGAATAATCCAGGGCGGCCTTGAGGAAAGTAAAACAAAAAAAATTACTTGAAGAAGCTAGCCAGGATGGTGTATGATCGGGAATGTTTTATAACGACAGAAGAAACAAATGTTCTGGAAGGCAATTTAGAAATATAAGCTTTAAAAAACTGGATTTACCCCGGGGCTCCTGGGTGGCTCAGTTAGTTAAGTGTCCGACTCTTGATTTTGGCTCAGGTCATGACCTCAGGATCCTGAGATCAAGCCCAGCATCAGGCTCCATGCTCAGCGGGGAGTCTGCTTGAGATTCTGTCTCCTCCTCTCCATCTGCTCCTCCCCCATCTCAAGTGTGTGCACTCTCTCTGTCTCCCAAATAAATAAATAAATCTTAAAAAAGAAAAAAACCCCCACAAAACTGGATGTACCCTTAACACCCAGCAATTCCGCTCCTGGGTTAACAGTAGGGAAAGGTACAAAGATAGAATTTCAAAGACATACTACAGCACTAACTACAGGAAACAGAAATAAGAACAACCAGAACGTCCAACTTACAGCTGGACAAATAGATTATGGCAAACTCTTCACTTCTAATGCTACACTGACTTTTTAAAAGACACTGACAATGTACTGTTTATTCATTCTGCAAATACTAAGCGCCTACTGTGTGCACAGTACTATGAATATAACAGTCAAAACTTCTACCCTCATAAAACTTACATTCAGGAGAAAAAAAAAGAGAAACTTACAAACAGCACAGCATGATCTCATTTTTAATATATATATGTTTGTGTGTGTGTGTGTGCATGGATGCACGCGTATATTTGATGTTATCTGCCTAAAAAATATGTTAACTAGAATTTGTTTTCAAGTCATTAACTCTGAATGGTAGGAATGAGGGCACTGTTTTTCCTTGTCGTGTTCTCTTAACTGTCCTCATCCATGGGTGGCTTAGAAACAACAGACACTGGTGTCTCATAGTTGTGGACGCTGGAAGTCCATGATCAGGATGGCTGGGGTCTGATGAAGGCCCTCTTCCAGGCTGCAGATGGCCAACCTCTCGTTGTGTCCTCACGCGACAGATGGGGCAAGGGATTCTTGCAGGGTCTCTTTGTAAGAGCACTAAATTCCAACACTGGGGGCTCTACCCTCAAGACCTACTCACCTCCCACAGGCCCAGCCTCCTAGGACCATCACCTTGGCCATCAGGTTTGCAACATATGGATTTGGAGGGGAGGAGACACAAACATTCAGTCCGTCGCAGTCCATTCATTACTTATGCAGAATTTTTTCAAGTTTTAAAAAAGAATTCTCAGAGAGGGCCTAGCTGGCTTAGAAAATCTCCCTGCTCTCTCCCATCCAAGATTCTGAAATGTGTCCTCTTACCTCATCGTCCGCATGCTGCTCAGAGGTCAATTTTAGCACCATCTTGCACTGATCCACAAAAGTGCTTGCAATCAGCTCGGCATGGCTCAAAAACACAGGGATGTCATCCTTGGTCAGTGGCTCATCCCCCACTAATTTCGCAATTACGAGGTCTAGCAGTGTAACTCTGTAAAACGTACAAGAGTTTTACATGAATAGGTAATACTGAAATCGTACAATGCTAAAAATATTGAGAGAGAGCATTTTAAGAGAGTATTTTTATTTTTAAGTTTCTTACTCTGTTTATAATGTCTAGCTAGGGAAGTATTTTGTGTGACTAGAATGACTCTTCATCAACTACCTATTTTTTAAAATCTTGACTTTTTTGATGTGACCTGACTACAGAAACCAGCACCTTTTCTATATGCATTCCTGTAAGCCCTTGATTCAACATTTCAGAAATGCTGTCGGATTAGGTTTTCTGACACATGAACAACGACAACAGCGAGGTTCGTGGGCTAGTAACGTTTACTCACAGCCCACTACTGGGCTAACGAACTTTCTACGCGCACGATCTCGGAGAGACAGCTACTGTCACTGGCCTGGGCTACGCTCAGCAAATACGGCTCAGTGAGGCTGACTCACCTGCCCGTAATCAGACGTGCCATGTCGGGACCCACGCACAGGACTCCACCTCTCACTGCTGGGCCACGGGCCTCAGCTCTTCATTCTACTGTCCTTCTTGTAAAGGCTGGCTTTGCTTGTTTCGTTATTTTAGTTCATAAAAACATAAGTCTGAAGACCAAACCCAGGCCATTTTACATCAACACTTAAATGATCCCATAAGTATTTCTATTTAACAAACTCTTTCCTTCTCCGACAAAAAAAAATGAATCCTATACATGGTAGTCTATCCAGCATAAACCAAGCAGAATGTTTCCCAAAATCACACTGTGACTTGGGATTAAATGCGTAACTCTCATTTAAATATCTCCAAACCAGAAAGGACATGGATGCTAAGCAAGTGGGGAAAATACACTTACAATAGGCACGGAGCATTTCTTACCAAACGAACAAAGAACTTGTTTACTGCTGCAAGTTTCAAGTACGAAATAAAACTATACCAAACTCTTCCTGTAGTTTTGCAAAATGGTGAAAAAGACCATCAGTCTGGAAAAATCACACTCAGACCTCACTGGTTTCCAAAATTCCTAAAAGCCTCCAGTTTCTTAGAGCAATCATTAATCCAAAATAAAACAAATAATCGTCTCAATTGAGCACAAAAGAACAACAAATAGTTCAGCATTAGGATGTTTTTGTTTTCCCTCATTCACACAGAAACTTTAAAAATGAATGGGGTCCTCTCAGGCCATAAAGCCAGGCAGGACAACTTTCCGGGAACGCTAGGGAGGAGGCCACCTAAGGAACCCAAATGTCTGCTTTAAAAATACTCCTTTTAAATTGGAATAGTGTGGCAATGATTGCTAGGTATGAGAAGTCATGAGCTCTGGTTTTAGGGAATTCAGCACCTTGTGGACTATTACTCAACAGGGCGAAGAGAAAGAAGAGATCATGAAGGAGTTGCATGAGGTCCAAGACAGAAAAGGTAGGCCCAGCATGGTACCCAAGCTTGTCCAACAGCAGTGGGAAGGCCCTGGAGTCCCAGGGGACACTCTGAGGGAGACCTGGAAGCTGGAGCTGATAGATATGGTCAGCACAGACGCAGCCTTCCTTACAAGCTCACCAGAGGCCATCCACCCCTCGGACTTCTCCCTGCTCAGGAGCCTCACCTCTCCACTCTACTGTGTGATTGTAACACGGGACCACTAAGCAGAGAAGTAGTGTCATCTTAAGGAAAAAATAAAAAATGAATGTTCAAAATCTAAAAATACAAATCAAGTTTAAATATCACCTGAGAATAAATTAGACTTCATTAAATGATCCTACTTCTATTGTGTTCTCTGTCCATAAAAACTTCTGGGGGCTCCCATTATTAGGGAGTGGGTCCAACAATTTGGGGCCATCCCAACCCGAGTCCCCATCAAACTCTCCAACTCCCTCTACTTAGAGCCACCATCAAAAACCATCCTTCTGGTCAAATACAGGAATCACGTGTGGGACACACCACACCAGTAGGAAACTGTTTTCAAATTCATTTATTTTAATGGCGCATTACATTTGCCGCCTCCATTTGCAAGCCAGAAACCGTATGTGTGTTCAAAGTTGAAACGTCCTGCAGAATCCGGGAAAATGGGACATGATGTGGAATGTCTTACTTCTTGCAGCTGTGTGGGAACCACACTAAATCCTTCCTTGAAAAGGTAACAGAATACAAGTGCTATTCACTCATGTATTTATTCACTCAGAAGTGAAGGATGAAAAAGCAAGAGACCTAGTTGAAGAGGTCAGGGACTAGCTGTCTACAGTCACACATCGGTGTGAAAGTCCTGCGTCCTTAAACCCCGGAATCCTCACTCGGGTCTGCCTTAGGCTACCAGACACACCCCTCAATTCAGATTCGAGCTTCTAGGATTTTCTCCCTCAACCACCGGCTGTCATTCACAATCTTTCTGATCCACTTCTGATTAAATAGTTACACAGTCTCTCCTCAAAATGAGGATTCCTGTTTCATAAAAAAAAAAAAAAAAGCAATATATATACATATGAAGAATTTTAAGGGAAAATTCTATAGCAAAATTTTTATTTGAAAGTTATGCTTAAATTAATGCAGGCTACAATTTTAATAGCCACGCCTGTGCCGTCCTGAAATGGGAAGTTTGTTACGAGAGGACTGGAGTGAGGGGCAAAGGAGGATGGGGGACACGTGGGTGAGCAAGTTTTATGAGCAGGGCATGAAATAATACTCTCTAATCCTAGAAATAAAATGTAATTCAAATTTCAGGACTGAGAGCTCCAACGAACCATGAATTCACATTTGGACTCTCCACATATACGATCTGTTGAATGATGTGCCCACAAAGGCCAAACCTTTCATTAACCTGAACAAGCTAACCGAGACACAGGCACAAAGCTGTGGCTGAATTAATCTCACTAGTCCTTTAATAAGTCACAGAGGTAAGAAATTCTTGTGTTGTGGGGAAGAAGATCACTGATTTTGGCATCCGACAGACTGAGTTCAAACATTCCCCCAGCTACCTCTGTAACCCGGGGCAGACACCCGAACCTACAAAACCGCAGATCCCAGTGGGGCAGACGGCAAGAATAACACCCATTTCCCAGGGTCTCTGGAGGATGAAATGAAACGGCTGTAAGATGCCACCTGGAGGAAGAGACAAGGTGGCAGAGCGGCAGGACTAACAGCAGCAGTGGTGACGGGGGCTGGGCGGGGGAGGGAGTACCAGCAGCAGAAGCACAGAGGCAGAACTAGCAACTCATTCACTTTGTGATAATCCCACACCAGGCACTGCCTCCTCATAGATTTCAATCAGTTACGGCAATTTCATGGGGCGGCTACTGTTCTTATCCTTGTTCTACAGATGGACCAGAGTTCCACAAGAACAGGTAACTTACCCAAAGCCATGAGCCACAGAACTACCTCTGCTGTTCACTACTCTGCTATACAGATTATAAGCCTGAGAACCACCCAAGCGTTTTCCAAGAGCAGCTAGGTTTAATCTAATAATACTGCAATTCATTGGGAAGGAGGACCAGAAAATCGTATAAACGCAGACTCTCATTTCTGCTGAGTCAACCATGTGAACTGATTTTGACTCCATATCCTAAACTTCTCACCGAGTAGTCTGGAGTCAACGAGTGGTGACATTCCAAGCACTTTCCCTCCGGAGCCACCCACACTGTCCCTGTGATGCCCCGGGGACCGCCAACAGGCACTTAGTGAACACACTACCTGTTTTACTGACTGACCCTCAAATGTGTAAACCTGGCAGCCCTTAACCCAACTGGACATTCTAACTGAGCAGGTGGGGCCACAGCCTGGGCATTCCTCAGGCGATTCTGATGTGTGCTCCCAAAAGCACCACAGTGTCTCCACAGGGGTCTCTAGTGAAGTTCCTCATCTGAACCACAGAACACAGAGAATGTTCTCAGTTCTCACAAACAAGGCATGCAGCACCACTCTAGGTGCATAGAAAAGAAGTTAATTCATTACATATCCCTGTTGAGAAAAACTAATCTTTTCAATCCTATTAATCTGCAAACTCACAACTGTGAACACAGAATTACCCATAACTGCCTGAAAAGGAGTCAACAGGGAACCCAAGAGCTCTACTTGACCGCAGACTCAGTGCTCCTGCCAAGACCCCCTTCCCCTCCTCCCTGCGCCCTCCCCCCACACACACCAGCACACACACCCATCAGCACTGAACTCGTCAGGCCCCCCAGCCAATCGTTTGAGTCAGTCACCACAAAAAGCTCACACAGGCTCTGACAAGGGCCTAAAAGCATGAGTGTAAGGTGACCCCTGAACACCACAGGGTCAGTCAAAAATCCATGTTATCACTTTTGACTCCCCAAAAACTTAACTACTAATAGCTGACTGTTGACCGGAAGCCTTACGGTAACGTCAGTTGATTAACACGTATTTTGTATGTTGTATGTATTATATACTGTGTTTTTACAATAAAGTAAGCTAGAGGGAAGAAAATGTCATTAAGAAAATCATAAGAAAGAAGGCTGCCTAGGTGGCTCAGTCAGTTAAATGTCTGACTGTTGGTTTCACCTCAGGTCATAATCTCAGGGATGTGACATCGAGCCCTACATTGGGCTCTGTGCTCAGTGCAGAGTCTGCTTGAGGTTCTCTCTCCCTCTCCCTCTGCCCCACCCCTGCTCACGCACACCGGCGCTCTCTCTAAAATAAAATAAAATGAATAAATAAAATCTTTAAAAAAAGAAAGTCAGAAGGAAGAGAAAATGTATTTACAGGACTGTACTTATTTAAAAAATCTGCATGTAAGTGGACCTGCGCAGTTCACACCCACGTTGCTCAAGGGTCGGCTGTACATTCACCAGAAGGAGAGGCAGTGAGTGGCCAGGACACTGCAGGCAGAGAAAAGGACATCCGCAAAAGCATGAGATTGCAGGGAAGGCCTTGAGAACCGACAGAAGTTCTGTGTCGCCATGATGTGGTAACTGAGAGCAGGGGAAAGAGGCTGGAGATGAAGCTGCCTGGTAAAGGCCTCACACGCCACACCGCTCAGGACACACGAGGCGGCGCCCACAGCAAGGCGCTGCCCGAGACGCAGGCAGCAGAAGGGGACTTGAGGGCTCTGAGGTTCCCACCTCGGTAGATGGCATTCCAGGAGTCAGTGCACTAACTGGACAGACCTTTTCACGAGTAAGAAAATTCATTCACTTCCTCGTGTTTTCATCTAAACGACTTTTTCTGGCACCCTGACGTGCGAAGCACCATCTGGGAACATGGCCACCCCGGAAGAAAAAGATGGAGCCCGTGCCCTCGCAGGGCCGACAGCCCAACGGCAGGGTCACACGAGCAGCATGCTGGTGTGCAACACACTATGATGCATGACAAATGACACGAAGAAACAAAAGCACTTCTCCTCGGGAAGAAAAGTCAAGAGGGGCCGTGGCACGTGAACAGACGCTGCACGAAGGGGAGCAGTGGCTACAACGTCTTTGTAAGTAAAAATGGAAAATGTTTAGTCTGGCATCTTCATTTGGTTACATGATAGAGCACTTTAAAAACAGATCCTTCGACAGGAATATGGAAAATGTAAAACTGAATATTAAAAATACAACTCAACTGTGTATCATTCTCCTTGCGTGCGGGTATTCCTTATTGCAAAGCCGCTTCCCAAGTGATAGCACTGCTCTCCATGTCACTAATTTTAGGTCAAAAAACTACAAATAATTCTTTTTCTGCAACAGAAGTATGCATATGGGGGGGGCCACTGGATTTATAAACATGGCATTTAAACTGACTTTAAAAGCTCGAACTTTCCTTTTTGTTGAAGCTATTAAAGAAGAAATCCCACTTAACGAGACTACAAAGGAGTGTAAAAGCTTAATTATTTGGAAGCCACATAGATAGTAAGAATTTCAAAACCACAGCAATTATAAAAATTGTGACTACAATCAAAAGATTAACATTTTTTAAAGTTTTTGATCATTAGATCCGTGATTTCAAAGTAAGTTTTATTTTTCCTAAGGCAACATTCCCAGTAAGGCTAGGGAACACATGAGCTATGGGAGTCATCCAGAGCGCTGCGAATCATGCCATTCCATCCTCTAATCTTACAGGCCGAGAAACTGAATCCGAACACAGTAAAAGGCCCGGCTACGGTCACAAACAGAATTACCATCACGAGGAGGCAGGGAGCCATGGTCTCCGTGCTCAGCGGGCACTGCTCTTCCCACTACAATAGCAGGGAGATCACAGACGGGTACCCAGTCTTCGTCTGAAATACCTATGGGAAAACTACACGTTGAGTGGGGCATGTCCCAAATCATTACACCAGTGATGTGAACACAGAAGCACGTTTCAAAGACGCAACTGCAATCAAAGGACAGGCGTAACATTTTGTTCTTAGCGTTTCTGAGTTTGCCTTTACTGAATAATGGCGGCAACCTGGATCGTGCAGCCCCACGTAAATCATTGCCTGCTGTGGCTAAGCTGTAATGTTAACCAACCAATTTAAAACCATTACTGACATAGAAACATGTATTTAGAGATTTTGTGCCAACTAAGAAACCACACAGTTTCTCAGTCATGTGTACAGGATACTCTGTATGGAATGCTAAATACTCAAAACCACACTGGTTTTTGGGGTTACCTTTCTTGATTGCTCATTTTGGCATACATCGCTTTCACCAATTCCGGGCTCTTCAGAAAGTGGTCTGTAATAATCAAGAACCTAAGAAAAAAAGGAGGAGAAAGTGTGGTTACTAGAAACATAGTAAAATGGACATGGCCTTATCTACTTTATGGGCATTGTACACATAAAAGTACTTCTTTTTATTGAACTTTTGATGTGCTGTAATCTTAAAATGTTCTAAGAGGTTCACATACTATTTTTCCATTAGCGGCTAAAAGAAAATAAAAACCCTCAAAATAGGTTTCTCCAATTTTACTTCAGAAATATTTATTGAAATGATTCAAATGTATTCAACTATAGGTCTTATCTAAGTTCCATTTTAACTATAAAATGAAATTTAGCTACAAGTTCAGGTATAAACAGAAACCATATTAAACTGTTCTACTCAGAAGGTTAAGTGCTAAAATTAACTAGAGAAATGGACATGTCACACGTTTTATTTAAACGTATGCCAACAACCTGGTAATGCATACTGGCTTGATTACCTTGTCTGTAAGAGCTCTCGAGTTACCAAGAAAACATCCTCATTGTCAAGCAATGCACTCATCTAAACTCAAAGATCAACTTATGGAAACCCTGAGGCAAAGATTATAAGCGTATTTCTTTAAAGTACCACTGTGACAACTAAAAAGATTGAATAGTATTATTAATTAATTCTGAATCATATTGGCCAGAGGGCATCTGCAGGCTTAAGAACTAAAGAATATACTGTTTATAACCAACGTTATAGCATAAGAGTGACTGTAAAGCATTAAATATATTTATGAACACAGTTTATTTAACCACTTAACAAAAAATATAATGAAAGTATGTGTTTCAGTATGTAACCAAATGAACCATATTAACTACCACAACACACTCCACTCATATAAAAACAAAATCTAAACATGTGTTCTATTTCTTCCACAGCCCTCAAAATAACTGATCAGCACTTTTTTTTTTTTAAGATTTTATTTATTTATCTGACAGAGAGACACAGCGAGAGAGGGAACACAAGCAGGGGGAGTGGGAGAGGGAGAAGCAGGCTTCCTGCCGAGCAGGGAGCCCGATGTGGGGCCCGATCCCAGGATCCTGGGATCATGACCTGAGCCGAAAGGCAGATACCCAACGAATGAGCCACCCAGGCGCCCCTGATCAGCATTTTGATATAAGATATTTCTAGTAATAATGGATATACAGAAAATTCTCAAACAGTTCTCATACCAGTTTGGGTAGGTCATTAAACTGCAACAACAGAAATTCATGCATTTTAAGCCAGGTACACAAAAGTGATCCTAAAGCTCATTCATGATTTAGCTTTCTGGAGCTCAAAACATTTTTCCAGAAGAACGTTCATTCAAAAATGCAATGTTCCAGGGCACCTGGGTGGCTCAGTTGGTTGAGCATCAGACTCTTTCCGCTCAGGTCATGATCTCAGGGTGGTGAGATGGAGCCCTGCATCAGGCTCCGCACTGGGCGTGGAGCCTGCTTAAGATTCTCTCTCTCTCTGCCCCTCCCTCCCTGTGCTCGCTTGATCACTCAAAAAACAGACAAATAATAATGATAAATAAAAAGTATTTTTTTTAAAAAACCCACAATGTTCCAAAACTGTGCTAGGAGCTAGATCACAATCCATATTCCAAAATGCTAACAGTGGAGAAAAGCCCACACATAGAGAATTAGACAAAAATGTCTCAGGGGCAACACACATAAACTTTGTAGAGTAGAGAAATAACAAAGTTGATCTAACCAGAGGGCCAAGGCAGGACGCTCAGGACGCCGAAGGAGGTGTTCTGTGAGTCCCTCATTGAAGGAGGACATGGAAAAACAGGATATCAGCGCACTCAGGGAACTATACCCAGGCAAACACGAGGAGGGTTTGAAGAAGGATTCAGGACCAAAAGCTTCCATCCTGGAATGCAACTGGCCCCCAGCTGTGGGCCCTCCCGTCCCTCAGCCAAGGTCCCATGACGACTATGCCCTTCTTCATGACACCAGCCAGTGTGCTCTTTCTTTCTTTTTGATCAATCTTTGTTGATCTTCTTAAAGAACCAATCTAGCCTTGGTTAATTTTTTCTATTGATTTCTGTTTCCTGGGTCACTGTTTTCAGCCCTGGTCTCGTATCAATTGCTTCTGTTTACTCAGGTTATTCTGTGCTCTCGTCTACCTTCAGAAAGTAGAACCTTCATGGAGGTCACTGCTTTTAGACCTTTCTTCTTTTCTGGTAGAAACATTTAAAGCTATACATTTCCCTCCAAGCACTGCTTTAGCTTTATCCCACAAATTCTGTATTTTCATTATCCTTCAGTTCAAAAGACTGTCTAATTTGACCTATGATTTCTTCTTTGACAAACTGATTCTTTAGATGAGCTAATTTCCAAAAACTTGGAATTTTTCTCAATATCGTCTGATTACGGTTCTCTAATGTAAGGTCACTGTAGTCAGAGACCACACACTCTGTATGTTCTCAATCCTTTTTGTATATTTACTGAGACTTTTTATAGCCCAGATTATGGTCGATCTTGGTGAACATTACACATGCAGCTGAAAAGAAAGTGGATTCTGCAAGTGCAGAGATAATGCTCCTACAACATCACTCAGTAAAGATGGTTCTGAGATCATCTACCTCTACACTGACATTCAATGGCTGAAGAGTGTGAAAACCTCCCAACTATCACTTCCAATTCCAGGCATAATGGACTAACAACTTACCCTCCTACCTCAAACAACTATGAAAGCAGGCAAAATATATGAAACAACAGTTTTCAGACAATAAACAACAGGCCCAAGTCAATCAGGTTGTGGAAATAAAAGGCACTTTGGCAAATCTCCTCTTAAACAAACAAAATATTCTAACGCGTGTGTGATAAATGTGACTTGATCAGTATGTTTATAAAATCCTTAAGACCTAATAGCAGATGGAGACACACTCAGAAGGAAGCAAGAGGTGGAACCTGAGTTGAAAAGGTTTCCAGGTACATGGGGCGGTGAGGGTGAAAGCGACGGGGAAGGGCAGAGGAGAGACGGGTCACAGCCACTCTGGTGCTCGGCCGATGTGACCATCAACAGCATCTAGAGCAGAAAGGAAAGTGGATCCACACTTTGACCTTTATACCAAGAAAAAGCGCAAGCAGATCAAACACCTAAACCTCAAAACTGAAATGATACAATACTGGACGAAAACCTTAGTAGAACAAAGATCTTTATAGCTATTCCCAAAAATCTATAGGACATAAAAAAGACTGACAATTTCATCTGCGAAAACATCAAAAATTTTTATATACAAAAAAAAGCCACATGCAAAGTCAAAAGACAAAGAAGTGAGAAAGAATATTTGCATTTTATTTCACACAAAGGACTACTGGCCCTAATTTAGAAAATATTCCTACACATAGATAAGGATAAGACTGACATCCAAATGGAAAAATGGGTAAAGAAAACAAGAATGTACATAAAAATAAAAATAAAAATCCAACAGTCTGAGAGCACACTCTGTTAGCAATAACGGAGGAAACCAGGTCCTCTGCAGTGGCCAAGACGACTATGTATTGATACAAAAGCTACGAAGGACTACTCAGCAGTATTTGTTAGAATATAAAAAAGCATGTTCCCTTTGACCTAGTGATTGCACTTACGAGTTATCGGACAATCATACCTGCCCACGTGCAATATAACATACGTATGAACAAGGCTATTCCCTGCCACGTTCCGTAGTTATGGAACACGGGGAACCTAAATGTTCACCAATAAGGAACTGATTAAATAAATCACAGTATATTCACACAGCGGAAGATAAAGAGAAAGTTCTTTATATACTTATATGGAAAGATCTCGAAAATAAACCATTTGGTTAAAAAAGCAAGAGGCTCAGGGGCATGTGGGTGACTCAGTCAGTTGAGCCTCCAACTCTTGGTTTTGGCTCAGGTCATGGTCTCAGGGTCCTGGGATTGAACCCCACATCGGGCTCCATGCGCGTCATGGAGTCTGCTTGAGATTCTCTTTCCTTCTCCCTCT